GTGTGTGTGTGTGTGTGTGTGTGTGTGTTTTTTAAAACGCGTGCTCTGAGAAAACAGTCGCACTTGGCCGACGTCGCCCCACATCCCCGCGTGATTTGTGAGAAAACCGACTCCCGAGACCGCGGAAAGTATAATATAACATATTATACTGTATTATATACTAGCTACGCGCGTACAATCACGACTGGTGAAATTTCCCACGCACGAATTTAATGACCGTTTACGAGATATTATTGTATTACAAAACGACGACGACGACGAGACATTTTCATACGTTTCGAACGAGGGCGGCCGAACGCGCGCACGTGTGTAGAGGTAGTAGAGTACCTGTATGCATACTATATATACATTATACTGCAACAACAGTGTTCATTGGCGTGTGACTATAATAAATGCGTGCGTGTACGTTATTTTTGTATTACGTCCACTAATTGTACTATGTATAGTGTTGGAAAAGTCTTTTTTGGATAATATAAAAAAAAAAAATAAATAAATAAATAACTTGTTTCTCTGTCAGACTATGAAAAATGAATACTGAATACGCAGGTTACTATGATATATTGTTAAGGATTCGCGATCTCTGTTTCTTCGAAAGAACCACGCACACTGCACACTGCAGCTGCAGTGGCGCCGAACACAATAATATTATGTTGGCAGAGAACCATAGGAGGTATATACATTTGAAAATCTCGCATTTTACATTGCAGGTGATGTTACCAGGGCTGTAATTTCTAACCCACACATCCCCATCGAAAATCTACAATCGGCAGTTGGCAGATTCTAGACTTGAATTTTTTTTTCAATTATTATATTATATCTGTATATATTATCAATTTTATAAATGGACAATTGGTTAGACATTATTATAATAAACATAAATTAAAAATTATATTTTTTTATTTGTTTTCTGATATTTAAGATAAAATATTATGTTTTATTTCAGTCTACTATTGTGAACAAAGCGTATGTTTACTAAAGTATTTTAAATACCTAGATCTCTCAATACAATAGGTAGACATTATAATTTTGAAAACACGTATTATTCGTTAATGTTTATCATCAAATCATATACAAAACACAGTTACCAAAATATTATATGTATGCGGAGCCAGGGCTAAACCACTTTCCTCCAAATTGAAATATCGTTTTCTTCCAAAAATAAGATGAGGTATTCTCTATTTTCCTCCACACATTTTTTGAAACTACATACATGTGTATTTTCCTCCAAATAATAGAATTATTTATTTGATTTCTATGACACGATTATAGGTACATAAAATTATGACACAAGTTATTTGATTTGTATACTTATAAATATAATAATTCTAATATTAATAATCAATAGGTAATTAAACATCTGGGAGAAAAATGGCTACTGTCCTTATATGTGACTGATTTCACGCTTTTATCGGGAGAATAATAATATTTTGGTGAAGTGAGCTATTGCAGCCTGCAGGCAGGGATGCAGGCATTCATAATAATATATACCTACGACTGGATATGCACCGGATGACTTCGTAGGTACCAATAATAAATAACAATACTGCACCGACGTCTTTCGAAAACCGACTGTTTTGAAACTATTCGGCGCCAACGACGGTGTACAATTACACACACCTATATATATATATTATGATAGACGATAGTATTACTTTTGTCGTCTGACATCGAGATGCGTTTTTGTCGATAGACAACAAAACATATGAGTTCAGTTATTTATATATGCAAACCGATAGAAAGAAGGGAATGTGGCCGTTTTTTATTCATGTCGCGTCTTGAATGTTTGAGTTTGACAATAGTACATAGCCACATAGGTACACTTGCATTATAAATCGTCTCTTGTCTCCATCGCCTCTAAAATCGCCCAATGTCTCGGTGCTCTTGTCTTCAACAACAGGTGTTTTTTCCTTCGACCGGAAGGCATTTCTTGGTAGACCAACAAAATATCCGTATAAATAATAACGATGCATAGTATTTAAATCTCTGTATATAGTATTTTTTGTTCTCCCAGGAAATAAAAAAATCGCACTGGGAATCGTATTTCCTCATCACATTCAGTGGGAATCCGTCCGGTCAAGTAACAACCGGTTGGATATTATTATAAATAATAGATATTATGATATAATATTATACTGTACATCTCAATCCGCAACAATTTGTCAATAAGGACGAAATATTGTATTGCAACATATAGATTATAGGTAAAACGTTGTCGGCGAGAAAATCGTCTAAACATTTTATAATATAATAAATAAATATATAAAATAAAACCATTTTACCTTGAGTTTAACCGACACTATTTCCTCCGGCCAACACGCGACGATTCGTGTTCAATCGGATATAATTATTAAATATGCTTCATGACACGAAACGAGTGTGAATTTCGTAACGTATAAGTACGCATACTTATATGCATATGATTACGTCGTATATCGTACAATCGAGTTGAAATACTGCTGCTACACGCCTCGCTCTGACTGTATAGGACCGGCTTCTGGGTAGGTACTGCACAATTTAAATATATGTCGCATATTTTATACAGAAGTTTAGTCGAAACCAAGAACTAATTATGTTTACTGTACACCACTTTATAACTAATGTAATATTTATTTGATCTATATGAGATCTAACGATTATTATTACTCGGCAGTCGTCCCGTTTCTCGGGGAATGGCGGTGAAGGTGAACAAAAAAAAAAAAAAAAATTGTTATATTTACTGAATCAGCAGTTAGACTATAAGGTCATAAGTTTCAAGTATAAAGGTAATGCGTGTACAAATTATATTAACGGTGTGTTATCTTAGCTGTTACAGCTGTAGCACACAGTTTTTATTTCAGCTAGACAAATGGAGGATCGACATTTTAAAAATCGATCTTAAAATCAAAATTACGATCATTATACGTAATTTTTTGACAAGGTTATTTGGTTGTACAGTCATTTCTGTACTTTTCATTTTTTTTCTATTTATTATTATTAATTTTTTCACGATAAACGCGACGTATGCCACGGAAAATTTGACGAATCAAGGATTGGTCATTGTTAATAACGTTATTATATACATATTACTAAGTATAATGTAATGATCTACACGTTATAATATTACAATGCGCTGTGTAGCAGTCTTGACAAGTTTATAATATTCATATACTGCGCTGGTATTTTTACCATAAAAGTTTAGACACTTACAACTATAATATCATCAACAGGAAGTAGTGCCACACATACGACGACCAAGATTTTTAAAATTAGAAATCGAAGACAAAAAAATGTTCAAGCGTTATTTACATATAAACACTATAAATAATACGAAAAAAAAATGTTTTCTTTGTAAGATTTTTTAGGCATGAAAAAACATTTAAAGAAACCTATTTTATTTTTTAATTAAAATTAAAAAAAATTGAATAATCGCAAAAAACGCCCATGTCATAGTTTAAAAATATAATAGTATGCATTGATTTAATCAACGTTTAAATTATTATTTTATGAGTTACTGTTTACAACAAACGTATTTTTTCGAAAAATATTGTATTCGTTTATTAATTTAATTTAATTTATTTATCGATTAAAAACCGGTAAAATTCCAGTTCAGACGTGGCGAATCAGCGACGATGAGTAATATATTTTGTACGCTTATGTGTATATTGTAGACGTGTAACAATATTGTTTTGAACGCAATTATTAATTGGAAAATTAATTATTTTCTGAATCTCTCGGCACTCACACGTCAGATATTATGTTTCATACCAATCATACCCTAAAACCAATTAAATCTTGCGCATTCCTATTGTCGTCAAACGATACCACACAACATACATTTCTGTGCGATTGCTTATACGTATTTGCACATACGCGACGATCTGCAGTGATCTATTATTATGATCGTTTACAGTAAATAGACTTGGAACGTTCCATCGGTGGTTTCGATAGATCGATTATCGGTCGTTTAAGATTAAGAGGGTATAATTACTATAATGTGGGCAGACAGCATCTAATTGATCCGTCACGTTCCGCGTAGCAATATAGTACTATAATATAGTTGTAGGTGGTAAACACTAGAATGGTCGTCATGACAGAAAAATAAACAAAATATATTATTATTTATATTATGTGCTCGTTCGGAACGTTTAATCAACGAGCGACATTTCACAAATGATATTATTACGTAGGTACCAGAGTGGCAAATACCACAAAATGATGGATTACGACGGCGGACGTTGGGTCTGGAGTGATTTAAATCACAAATGTGCAGACTTACGCGAAACAACACGTCTTGACGGCGATGGGAACGAACGGGATGGGGCGGTTGGGCTAAACGACGCGAGATAGGTTTACGACGTTCTAATAATAATACGATACGCGCGGCGACCGTCAACTCTGAGCGTTATTGTATCGACATCGGGACGGAAGACGCGGCGTCCGTGACGACGACGGACGTCCGACGATGGGCTTACGTTTTACGAACCAATTCGTAGAACCCCCTCCCCCCCCCCGGTAAACCCGATGTTCGGTATGTTCTCGGAGAAACGGGCGTCGACGCGAAACGTACCTACCTACTTACTTCTCGTACGAGAGAATCTCGAACAGGTTGGGAACCCCTGGCGCGGCCGGGTAGCGAAGAAGCCGTTCCGCCGCCTCGACCGCTAGCGCTCGCGAACCGGTGGCCGGCCGGCCGTCTGCCGCGGTGCCGTCGTCGGAATCGGTCGGCGGCGATGCGGAGACGACACGCCGGGCGAGGAATGTTGTGCCGGTTCGGCGGCGATCGGGTCGCCCGTCCCCGCCGCCGCCGCCGCCACGGGAACAACGATCGAGAGAGCCGAGCGCACCACCGCACAACCGGTTTTTCCCTTCGGTGTATTGTCGTCGGGCGACAACGACGCGTCGTTAACAAAAGAGAGTGGCGGCCGGAGAGACCCGTTCGCGTACGGGTAGTAGCGACCAGCCGGCGGCGGGCAGGCCCGTCGAAGCGGCGTTTCGCGCATGCGCCATCCGACTCCATTGACCCGACGCCCTCCTCTCCCCTATCGTCCTACCTACCGAGTACGTCGTCACGGTTGCACACACGCACCAACGTAAACGCAACACACCGCCGCCGCGCCGTCGACGTTCACGCGCACGCGCATGCGCACGCACAAACAGCCGTCGCCCCACCGCGCGCAGTACGCGCAGACCGCCGCCCGCCGCCGCAATTCATTCCACGAGAAACGGTCGAGCTCGCCCGACGTTTGTTTTTGTATCCATGTGACCGCGTTTGGTTTATCGAGTTTTCTTTTCGCCCTCTTTCGGTAGTGATTCAAATAGTATTATCGTATGCGTTTGTGCTCGCCCGCGCGCACCGACAATCGACGTGCACACACATCGCGGCCGATTCCGTAGCGTCCCTCTCCAAATGACGCGTTCCCGGTCACACACGTGAGTCCGGGTTGAAAACGTTTTCTCCTTAATTCTTCGTCCCGACGACTGCCGCCGCCGCTGCCGTCGAAGACGAGTTTCCGATTTCCGGCGGTGTGTTTCCCGTCTAGTGAGTACTACCCGCACTTAAGCCCGCCGCCGTCATGTTCGACGTGTTCGGCTCCGTCAAGGGGCTGCTGAAAATCGACAGCGTATGCATCGACAACAACATATTCCGGTTGCACTACAAAGCCACTGTCATCATCCTAGTAGCGTTCTCGTTGCTCGTCACGTCCCGCCAGTACATCGGTGACCCGATCGATTGCATTGTCGACGATGTGCCGCTCAACATCATGGACACGTATTGTTGGATATACTCGACGTTCACAATACCCAACCGTATCAGTGGCCGCGTCGGTAAAGACGTCGTCCAGCCGGGCGTC